TTGTGCCTGTTACGTCTCTCTGTTGTTGCCCTAATAAAAATGTACATTTGACCTTTTCTAAAGCGAGTACCCAGCGTCCTCTGTGATTTCTGGATGTTCTCTTCGTAGGTGTACCAGAGATGAGTAGCCGCCGGTGCGTTAAAAGGCAATAAGCGTTCAGATAAACAACCAAGTCCTCAGCAGTAGGCCTGTTAAATGTTTGCATGCAGGGCTGGGGATCAGTGGGACAGATGTGGCAGGAAGCAATCATGTGATGAATTGACCCCCGTGTTAAATGGTGCCATTCAACCTTTTAAAATTCGATAAACAAGTCAGTCGGCCTGCGTGGAGATCCATACCCTCATCACGGGGAATTTCCTGCTGCGTAAATGGGTCAATGGCAAAATGTGAACCCTGACAAGAGGCGGCCTGGCACTTAAAGACAATTCGCCATTAGGGCAGCTTCACTAACACCAATTCTTTCTCAAGCATTCATGCTTTTGGCTTTGTGAGGCTGTACTTAGACACAGCTGTGCCTTGACCTAAATGCTAACATCAACATATGCTAACATACTCACAATGCTAATGTACTAATATTTGCCATGTTAACCATCCTAGTTTAGCGTGTTACCATGCTAACGTTTGCTAATTAGAACTCAACTTAATAAAGTACAGCTGAGGCTTAAGTTTGGCAGGTATTTGGTCATAAATCAAAGTTTTGGTGAAATTGAAACTTTGACCTGATGATGGAAGTTAACGTGTCGACAAATGTTTTAAAGTTCATCCTGAGGGGGACATGCATGTCTGTACCCACTGTCATGCCAATCCATTTTCGAGATATTTTGGCTAAAAGCCAAAAATGTCAACCTCACGGCGGCGTGAGAGAAGAAGTCATGGGATCATCAAAGCCATTAGGATTCACCAGGGACCATGAACGTCTGTAGAAAATGGCCTGGCCGTCCATCTAGCAGCCGTTGAGGCATCCATAGAGCCATGTTGCTAGCATGGCTAAAAACAACACCAACATTGGAGTGATGGAGCAACTGAATCAGTCTAATTCTGATGCAGTATAATGCTAGTCATGACATCACTTTTGAAATATTACTTCCTCTGAGTAAGTAGTAATATTATCTAGCTTGTGAACGACTCCCGTAACTTTCCCAATAACTTCCAATATTTCACCTCACTGTGTCCTCTTAGAAAGTGATGACTCCATTGGTTAAATACCGCTATGGCCCCCTCTCTCCTTGACTCACTAAATGAGCCGAGTGAAGGATGTTGTGCTCTTCTGCATAAACGCTCGCAGGAAAATAGAGTTTATTACTGTAAGACCCATAAAAAAACAACATTAAAATTCACAACCAGGGGAGCGTCGCCTGACCCCTGGAGAATGATAAATTAGCTTGTGTTGCTCTAGCAAAACGACCGTTTTATTGGGCCTACCTTCGTCTTGGCCTCTGGAGCCGACTCCCCTTCAGTGTGGAAGTGCCGCAAAGGGGCTCTGGACTGAAAGGCTTTGGCAGCGCGAAAACATTTTTAGATGACGCCGATATCGTTCTGCCTGCTTCCCTCCTCATAGGAAATCACTCAGTGGTGTGAATGACATTTAATTCAGCTGCATGTCTGCTCTTCACGTTCATCGGTGTCAAGTGGGTATAGCGTGGCACCGAGCTGCCTTCACCTAAGCAGGTCTGAATTTGACATTGAAGTGTCTGTTGTAATAATAGAGAGCAAGGGCCACGAAAATAGAATTGTCAGAAATCTCTACAGAAATCTCTTGGTCGATACAAGTTGCTGCTTAGGGCTCAGTCCACTGATACCTTTGATTCTACTTTTCACTTACCATGGATGAAGTCTTTCTGCAGCCAGTGCTGCTCTGCTTATCTGGGACAGCTTGTAATTGTTGAGTGCAGCCACCTCCTCAGTGTTAGTTTGAGGGATGGTACAGCAGATTTCATGTGACAGCAGCACTTCCATTTCCCACAAGGCAAACATGCAGGTGTCTGGGCAGCATTTGAAAAGAGATGAAAGAAAACTTGAATCTCATCAATGCATTGAAAAAACAGGGGTTTAGTATCAGTACAGGCCATGCACTCTTTACATGTATAAAGCTGTTACCCTGTAGGTGTCAACCTTTAATGACGATTCACTTGCTAACCAATGTCTCTTGAGAGTCATCACTGGCAACTCATTAGCACTATGCTAAGCTAATGGATCAGTAAATGGATTTTTATGTGGACATAAATGATAATTCGCTACACTGCAGCGCTGTTCGACAACGCTTTGTTTAGCAAGCCAGCCTGAGCCTCGGGGGTGTGTTTGTGTCTCATTAGGCTCGGCCGGGGATCTATTGTGAATGTGGCGGACTCAGTGGCAAAACAGAAATACAATGACGATGGCCTGCAGTGCTGAAACACTTGTCCATCCTGCAGCTGAAGGTTTTTATTGAAGAGAGGGACGACATCCCACAAGTGCCGAAACAATTACTTTTTTGAAAACAGAAAAGCAGCCTGTAAGACGGGAACCGCTTGAGTGTCAGGTGCTATTATGTTGCTTCACGGTTGTTGCTATGTGCTACCTGATAAAACTTGAGGTGTGTAGCTCAGAAATAAAGCAGACGTGGTGACTTTTAGCCCTTCTTCTGCTCATATACCACCATTTATCGTACACCTATCCATCCACAAGTCACATACATATCCACATACTCTTTTCATTTATCAATTACTGAACAGATTCTCAATTGCAAATGCTAATTGGTGATCATTGTCATATTACATGAAGCCCATACCTATGTCAGATATCTTTATACACTACCACATTATAACATGAAAAATGCATAAGACTTTCTTTAAGCCTCTATAAGCTGTAATAAAAAGGACATACGTCATTACAAGAATGAACATAATAATTAGTTAAATCAATGCTAAATCATTGTATTTGCATTGAAGAAGAGTAAGGTCTGACAAACATTCTGCTCTTCCTGCAGTCAGAGTACACAAAGTGTGGTTAGAGCTTGCCATGATAGCTTCCTGATAGCTCAGCTTTTTCAGCTCACGCCGCCTTCGTACCATTTGTTGATCCTGACAGCAGCCCACATGCAAAACCCTGAGACAGCAAGACAGACATTGGAAATTGGAAGGGAGCAGCAGCAGGGCCTCGTTGAAAGAACATCTCTAACTGAGTGGGAGTTGAGTGGGAATACTGGCTCGGCAGCAACCACAGAAACCACAAGTCTTCGATTTTCTACAACCAACTGGAGCACAAGATATCCTTGATGACGCTGCATGCTGGAGTATTACATTTTCACCTTTCATACAACAAATATTACCTATTTCTATTATCTCGTACAAACATTGTGGCAAGTCGAAGAACACTCTCCATCAATAATATTCATAGACAGCACGGTAACGCTTTATTTTACGGGTCCATCATTTCCTGATGATTTCTTTAAGGTCTCCTGGAAAGAACTGTAACTTTGGACCAGATGCAGGGAGACAGTTTATCACCAGTTGTTGGTTTCAAGAGGGAAACCTTTTAAAGCAAATGAATTCAAACCAAAGTAAGAATGCAGTCATCAGTTATCTATTGTTGGAAACTTTACTCCCTGTATGCTTCCATGTAGACTAATTGCATTTTTTATACAATGTCACCTGACCTGCTGTGCTCTGAGTAAAAAACTTAACATTGTGCTTTCTTAGCCATTAATATTAATTATTTAAAGTTTTCTAAATGAACACTGAATGCTATTTTACCAGGCACTTCCATACCTGTAAAATAAAACATTACAGAAAGCATCACCATGTGCATAAAACTTTACAACTTTTCATGCAAATTGAGTCGAGCAATTATGAGCAACTAAGATTATGTCCAATATCAAAATCATTATAACACATTTGTTTAAGGTCTGACATAGCACCCTCATCACTTTTCTAAATAATTACTGATAGCTGGAGGGCTGCTGGTTTCAGTGGTCGCAACAGCTGGCTTCTCCTACTTTTTTTAAGTAGTAAAATTATGTTTACTGCTAGAGGATTCTAAGGTTAACCAAAAAACAAAGTTTTAGTGATTTAAAGTTTTTCCCTAAAAGAGCTCATTGTCCCCCAGAATAAATACTAAAATATTTACTGTATATTTCTGGAATAAGCGGCCATGATATAAGTGGGAAAGATCATGAGGCATCATGCAGATGTGAAAAACTGCACACTGTGCGTTACATATTCCGATACCCACGCTTTGTGTGTTATTCTTCAATAACCGCACATCACATTGTGGATTCTCCCTCACATGAGGCATTGGTGGCAACTTTTACAATGTAATATGCTGCTGTTATAAACCATTATGCAGAAGCCGATATTAAAATACATCATGTGCTTCATAGAAAGTGTTACCCAGTTTCATTTTAGTCTCCACAAGAACACTTTGTTCTTTTTTTATTGTTCCAGTTTGTATCAGATACTGTTGCTGTGTCCCCGTTTAGGAAATAATTGACCTGTAGTACTGTAGTTTTCAACCAAAGCCTCTTTCAAAACAAGGACCGCGTGAAATAAAAGTATAAAATATTTACATATAGACCACAAAAGGCATTTACAGCCCTGACAATTTAGGAGGCACTCCCTCAGCTTGGGGCCCTAGATAGTCCCTCGTGCAGCAGGGAGTCAGCGGCTCTGTGCTAGGACTGGCAGAACTTAGTTTGATTATATATGCTGGTATAAATTGCCACTCACTGTCAGGTGTTGACATTTTTTTGACAACTTTGCAAGTAGATGTCCGGATATTTGTTCTTTTCTGAGATTTTGCTAAAATTTAAATCTGCTCTGCCTCTGCCCTGTTGCGTGCGACTGCAGCAGCAGTTCCTGCGTTGACAGTCACTCAAAGGGGCAATTTATTTACGGCGAGGGCAAACCAAAGAAGCGATAAATAAAGGCAGCATAAAATCAAAGGTATAGGATCAGGTGGAAATTGGTATTTTCTCACTCACAGACCACTGTTGACCTGGAAAACACTCACGCACAAACACCAAATACACTCCGCAGCTCCCGGGAGCGGACGCGCTCTTTATATCCTCAAATGCATACATTAAGATGGAGATGTACAGGATCTTTTAGTACAAAGAAATGAAAAAAACAAAAACAGGATGTAGACACATTAACAGGAACACCTGTGGAAATATATTGTAATTGCCCTGCAACAAACACTTGCTATGTGAAGGCTATTTTTTGAGACTTCGGGTTGACCGTACCTTAGTACATATATTAATATACATGTATTTCAATTGTGTTTTATTTTCATTGTGTTTTTGTAATATCTTGCTGGTGTTCTTGTTAATTTGTCCACCTCTTGTACTTCTCTCAGAAGAATGCCTTCTTGTGCTTCTCCTTTGCTTTACCTCCGCTTGAAATGAGACCCACAGAACATAAAATACATTAATTGAATATATATATATATATATGTATATATACATAATTTCAAATATATCAAGCATCTGAAATCAGCAAATAGCACGTCCAGCTAGCCAAAACATTTCTTATCAAAATATAGTCAATTTAAACAAGGATTCTGAATACATTTAATCACGCATGAATTGATTTTAATTACAGAATTTAACTTATGCGACACACTGTAGATCTGTCCCCAGCCCCCCCACCCCCCCCCAATATAAATATCTCTATGTACTAAATAAAAGACACAAAAGAAAAGAAAAGTCAATCCCAGGATTCACCCGTGAAGATTAAAATGATATCCAACATCTGTAAAATTGCAAATGCTTCTCTTGCCAGATGGTGAGCTCTGGTCTGGGCGTGTCCCAAAAATATACAAGAGTATGAATGATGCATTGGATATGACTTATTTCACAGTGTATCTCTGGATGTGCACACACACTCACGCACAAGCGCACACACACACACACACACATTCCCACGTGGAGAGATGCAAAATCACTTGCTCACAAACACACAGACCATTAACATGAGCCAGGGTTCCACATCGGCTAAATGCTCCCGGTGGTGTGTACAAGATGTGTGAGGTTCATTGACAAAAACTACTCTTCTAGTCTATGTTGGCACCACATTAAAAAAACATAAGTTATAAGCTAAGACGCTCAAAATGTCCACATTTCACCATCGTGACCTTCAGTCATTGAGTCAACTCGTCTCTGTCGTCTCTTCTGTGACATTCCAAGAGACTTTCATGCTTTCTCACAACCGTCCGTCCTGTGTGTATTTAAATGCAGAGGTGTAAAGTTTCACCCATCAGCCAAATGAGAGAAAGAATCCAATGGACAATACGGCCTGGCTCAACCTCTGCAGAGTCATTACTCTTCAGCAGTAAGCTGACATTAAAGGAACTTGGCTGGAATATAACCCCGGACGGCTTCATAGCAGGGATAGTAAAGAAGATGAACGGGATCGACTTCTGAAAGACCTTTTGACAAGTCTAAATCAAGCCACAAAGGTACGAAAAATCTTCAAGGAGCTCTCCCCTGCAGACTGGATGTTGGATAACAAGGACAAAAATAAAAGGTAAAGTACTTCACTGAATATTCCACTGCCCCGTTGATAAATGTTCCTCACAGGGATTTTAGTTCTGTGACGTGTCCACGAATTTGGCTGCGTGAAGATTCAATGCCGATGGAGTATACCATGCTGCTCACTTGAGACTTCTCAGAGTTCTCAGAAGTGTCTGCCGAGAGTCTTTCACTGTGGGGATTGGAGAAACTCCGGATTATCACTATTTATTTATTTTAGTATTGAAGGTCAAACCTGGTCTTAAGTTTGGGAATCTCGTTGGTGAATGGACACAATGTTCTGGTGTAGAGATTGGTCTCAGTTCCTTTTGTAGCATGGATGACAATGAACCTGCAGAGGGACGGAGAAAGAAGATAGTTCCAAATCACGAGACACGGTTGTTTCAAAAGTCAGGATGGTAGTCTTACCAGGTCAAACATAGTTAACATTTCCGCCACATTTTACGTAAGACAACTGCAAACTGAACACCACGGCATTTAAGCTAAAGGCTGCCACAACACAAAACAAGGTTAAATATGCACAGAGAATACATGTTTGGCCTTTGTTTGAGAAAGCTAATATATTTAATAACACACCATTATGATTTCTTATACATAAAGAAAAATATTTAGTTATTTATTTACACAAGAGTGCCTTGACTTTTGGGTGGATTTCAGGACTCATTTTGGGCGACAATGGCATTGATTGCCTACTTATGCAACTGTTTTGTGTCACATTCCTGCAAAAAAGCGCTTTGTCATTTGTTGTTTTTTTAATCAAAAATAAATTCAGTTTAATGAATCCCAAAACGCCGAATGACACAGTTTTAAGCTGTCGAGGATATTATTCTTTTTTTTTACCCTCACGGTGCAGGACAAGAAATACAAAAAACAACAACACAGTAATAATCAGACCAGCGCCCCCCCCCTCCCTGTATTTTCAATTTTCATCTGAGCCAGTTTCAGCAAAACTCTTCATATACAACATCTAAACCAATTAAAAATGAAATGAGAGCTCCAAATTAAGGTTTTGTCATTCTCTGCCTGTGCACTGTTAGACATTATAAAACAGGGGTCTGAATGATTATTGATATAATTGATATAATTAACAATAACAATGAATAATTTCCATAACGCAAACATGTCTGACAAAAAGCCATTAAAATAGATATATAAAACCAGTAATTTGACGTATTCCATGTCTGAACGGGGCTTTATTTGAGCTTTAACAAATTAAATTGTGTGAATGATTCTTTAAAGGGATTGGTCCATGAGTGTATGTGCTAATATATTCCTTTCCACGTGGAATAGGTTTCACCTCCAATGAAATTCTGGAGCTAATGACTTAATTTAGCCAATCATTTAATGAAGAAAGCCATCTGAATGATAATAGAACTCTGCCATGAATATGTTATATGGATAAATCCATAAATGTTAATGTTAATGTTGATTCACGGTGACAGTGGACAATTGTGACACCCGAGACCGCCCATATAAATCATTCAGACACTTAAATTTGAGTCGGCAAATCCACACAGAATTGCACAAATTCCCAGGGCTGGCAAATAAATATTTATGACGCCTCCAATTCCCCTTTTCTCCCTGTCCTTGGTAATTGTGCGTGATTCATTTTGTTTTCTCGGTGGAAGAGGGGATATCAATCTTAGAGTATTGGCTCGGAGACATAAAGCATGCAGATTCCAAATGCCTGTTTTTTTGCAGAATATAAAAGCTTCACAGATACTCAGTCAATGTTCTAGAGAGCGGAATTTAGTTTTAATCTTTTTTCTTTCTTTCTTGTTTTTTTTAGAGAAAAGAAGAATGTTTGTGGAAGTGACGTTAACCAAGGCTAGCCTGCTCCTGACTCCTGCTTGATATCGAATTCGGCAGGAATCTGTCACCATAGCATTTCGAAACGGCATTTTTCTAAAATGTAGCTTTTTCCTTCGCTTATTTCTTTTGTCAAGAACATCCTCCCAATCATATCGGTTTTCTACCTTTGTCCTAAACGAGAGCCTGGACACAGGAAGTAGCCTCCCCCTTTGATGTATCCACAGTGGGGCTTTTTAGTTTCCATTCCAAAACTTCCCGTAACCCCCTTTGACTTCCCTTTTCTGTCTGAAGTGAATGCAAACTGAGAAATGAGGGATTCCATTGTGTCTTCTCCAAGTCCTGAATGATCTTTATTTTCACTCAGTGGTGAGAGCAGTACTGAAAAGTACATGACGAATACACACTAATGGCTGATTCATTCCAGGTCTGAGTTACACTGAACTCTTAAACAACTTGGAATTAAGGCGAGGTGTCTGCTGTTTCCCTTAGGAGTTATTATTTCTGCCTTCTACAGGGCAGAACAATCAAAATGTCTTTGGTTGCTTATATGTCGAAGTTAACTGAAGCAGGGTTATACACTCAGTATGCAAATTGGAATGAAGTATATCATTAAAAAACTCACATACTTGCTGTTTTCTCTGCATCCTACGACGGTTCCTTGGGCAAAGGCTGGAAAAGAAAAGTAGAATGTCAGAGGCCAGCTTTCACTAAGGTTTTAATCAACTTTCCCTCAGCATATTTGCCTCAGACGCAGAGCAGCATATGTCCATTTAAAAGCACAGATGGCGTGTCTTCCAATTATATCTAAGGCGAGACGATGGAAGCTGAAGGTTATTTTGTTCTCCCCCAGTTTTTATGACCTCTAAGGACGCCGTTTCTCTCCTCGACCAGAAAATACGAGCGAGTAATGGCCACCTCATCATCAGCGTTAACGACCGAGAGACCTTTCCTTTCTCCCATCAATGGCATCACACAGATAGAACATTTTTATCACATTTGCTGTAGGGTATGGTGATAAACAGTGCTCCACTTTGTTTCTCTGTGAACAACCACTTCTTGCCTCCCACATTCATCTTTAGGAGAGCGCATGAAAACATGCAGTTTTCCCCTTGACCGGAGGAAGAAAACAGCTCCCTCGCCTTCTTGATATTGGTGAATGAGCCACTTTTGTGTAGATAATGACTCGGCTAATCATAATCACGAAGCTAATGGTCTGTTTAGCCAATCAGAGGAGCCAAGGCGAGACGCCTGTCTGGGCAGCGCATTGGCATTCCCGGCAGCAGCCGCTGCTGCTCTCCCCTCGGCTGTGCCAGGCTATCTGTAGCAGCGAGGTGGACTTGGTATTCAGCTGCCCGCCCCGGCCCGTCGTCCTGCGATCTGTCGCTCTGTCTGTCCGACCGGCCCCGGCGCTGTCAAAGAAATTCAGTACTCTGAAGAGGCGCTGATCCATCACACCTCTCCAGCAGCATGTCATCTAAATGCTAAGTACTTCCACTGCATCTTTAAATCAAAACAAGAAAAGAAATGAGCACGGTGGGGGCAGGCGGGCGGTTGGAAGGGATAAAAGCTTATAAGGGCATAATAGAATCCGCAGAGCAAACCCGCTGCTTTTTGATTACATTCATTTTAGAGGGAGCGGAAACGTGGGAGAGGAGAAACTGGGCGAGAGGGACTGCGCATGAGAAACCCAGAGACCTTGTTATCCCTTCAAATGGACACGAAAAAAAAGAGGGAGAATAGATATTGATACACCCGCACCAAAGCTTCCACCAAAAAAAATAGTACGTTGTTTGATTTCTCTCCAAAAACCACCATGAATGCACCTGAGCTGCTCCCTCAATAGGATCCCCCATCCTCCTCCCTCGACTCCTTCTCTCAGTCGGACTCTTAAGCTATCGATCGGAGGGATTCTTGAAGTCGGAGCAGAGTGCTGAGGCGGCAGAAGCGGCCGGCACTATTAACTGCTCCTACTAATTAAAAGGGTAACAAGGTGAGTTTGGCCCCACGGGACGAGCTATGCAGGAGACGGAGCCGGCTGTTTGCCTGCCATGCACACCGGTAAACAGTGCTCACCGCCTATGGTGTTTACAAGACAGAAATCCAAGGACATCGAAGACAAATTCATCTCCCGCTGGCACGAGGGATGAGGGAGATTCACGGATAAGGAGAGAGAGGGAGAAAGCAGGGAGCACACTAACAAGAGCTTCGCTAATTGCTTATGTCGCAGTGAAATTGAAACATTTGGACCTCATCTCAGAGCTTGGGGTAACCTCGTTTCATCGCCATATGTAAACATCGAGCACTGTGCATATGTGATAAAGTTTCACAGTTCAAATGAAGTGCACATGCCCGGATCTCTGAGTGAGTGCCAGCGGAGATTGGCAAAAATATCATAGGATTCAATTAACTTCTTTCCTTATCATCAATACAGCATATTTTAGGATCAAAGTATTTTTAAGATACAGTATGCCTCGCATTACACAGATAGAAATCCTCAGCCGAGGTATAGCACTATGGCTCACAGAAATCTATGGAGCCGGGAGAGAGAGACACTGCAGGTATGCGGCAGAATGTTTGCCCAGTGCTCAGGGGGACACAAAGCAGAGGCGACAAATTTGGTGGCACTTCAAGCCACAAAATTCTCACCAGCGGCCCACCCAGCCATTATGGAGGCAGGCCATCACTGCAGCAACTAAAAACCCTTCCCCGGGGTCTCTCCTAACAAGTGGACTCCTGCACAGTGTTTTGTTGGTTGTATCAGCTGGAGACTCATAGAGGCCGCAGTCATTACCAGCCACTGGTGTTATTAGACTAACAAGCGCAGCTACAGCCAAACTAAAGACCCTGAGTGGATGCCTCATGCCCAGATATGAGGCTGATGCACAAAAGCATCAGTGCAGCAGAACAAAAACAACGTATTTCCTGTTTATTTCTGGGGAGGCAGCGACAGAAAATTCAAATCCATTACTGAGGTAAAAGTAGAAATATAATAATGTCAGAAAAATAATGAATGCATGAAAAAATTGTTTTTTTTTAAGTTTTGGCACTAAAAAGCTGCATTCATTGATTTTCTTTTACTCTACGGGGCAGTTGTCAAGCCAACACTGACATGTAGTCTTATTTCATTTGGAGTTGTGTTTCTAGCCACCTGGTGAATGTAAGTCCAATATTCACTCTATTTACTCTCCTCTAAACTCGGTTTCTGTCTCTACCGAATCTTGAGGGAAATATCGAGCTGCTAAATGAGCCACTACATTCACCAGCTAGTTGCTAACTTTGCGTGTGTGCAGTTGTTTTGCCAGGCAGTGTACTGAAAACAGCTGTCTGCTGCTTGAAATGAGATTGATGAGAGCAGAATTTGCAGGGCTGTAAACCAAAACAGTTCACATTACACACAGACATTTAGATTCATTGGCGATAGAAAAATAATACCAAAAATATTTTACTTTAACAATAAATCATGTGCAGTTTGTTCCAGACCGACACTGGTTTACACTCATTTATAAACAATATGAAAATCAATAAGCAGGCTCTTGAAACTGGCTCGAGGTGTGTGAGATTACTGCATTGAACATCAAGTGTACATTTTTCCAGCAAATGTTACATTACCGTTGCGCGATGTGAGCAGATCAATTTGAAAAGTCAGCAGTGAACTACCTTGAAACATTGATGTTATTTTTTTTTAAATGCATACTTGATGTTTATTGTGATTGATAACACAAGTAAAGCAAGTGTCAAGAGCCTGCGTATTGATTTTCATACCAACAGAAATCGATGGAAAGCAAAGGACACCTGGAATGAAACGTGGGAAAAAACATTCAAATTTGTAAAACTCAGCAGTAGGCTTTTCAAAATGTTTAGCTGTGATATTAAGTGAATGTGATTTGTAGTAAAAAGGCTAAAACAAACAAAACCACGGGTACGGCTATTTAAATAAAATCAAAACGTAGCATCCAAAGTACAAAAGGTCATTATGCAGAATATCTGCTTTCTAAATTATTTTATTTATGATATTGTAGAATAACTACTACAGACGCATGTGAACCAAATTTTAATATTGTAGCTGGTGAAGGTTATTTCAAATATATGTACACTCCTAAGGGGTATAATATATAACAATGCATCATATCTTATAAGTTGATCATATGTTTTGTTTATGAAACCTGTAAAGTAACAGGTAACTATAGCTGTTGAATAAATATTGTGGAGATAAGAGAACATAATGTCATACGTGAAATTTGATCTAGTGTAAGTATATGGTAGCATTAAATTAAAGACATTTAACACAAATCTCAAAATTATATTTTGCTTAATATCACTGGAAACAGGTCGTGTTTTTCAGGACTCTTAAACGGGCCAAAAAATGATAGATGGCGGCTGGCTGCGCCAAAGGTAGCAGCGCTAAACAATGAAACAGGTTGTTTTGGGCCATGCGTGAACATGTCCAGTCCATTGCTAGGCACTCTGCATTACACAGGGTACAAAAAACCCCGTGTTGAAATGTGGCCTATGGCTCTGACAATTTCACACCAGATGAAGCTCTGGAGACAAGCATTGTGCAGGGTAAAACTCACATGGCAGTTCAAAGCCTGGCAATGACAGAACTTCAAACAGGGGAGCGGGGTAAAGTGTGCTGAAAGTGACAGCAGAAGGGACCATGTTCACTGGGTCTCAGACAAAGAGGAGGTGGGCGGGGGGGCGGGGGGGTGGTGGTTGAGGAGGAACATGTGCCCGGCGAAGGCAAGCAGAAAAAAATAACTTTTTTAAAAGATGATGGAAGCACAAGAGGAGAGAAAAAAAAGAAAAGAAAAAGTGTTGTTTTTTTATGCCCTGTGAATGAACTCCAGAGGAAACATTAGATACTGTAAATGTAATCATGAAGCTCTCTGCAGTATATATGTTCCATAACACCTATGAAAAAAAAGGGGAAGGGAAAGGTTTTCGGAACATTTCTATCAATCCAACCTATTTCAATATATTTTCTGCATCAGTCCACAAGACTGATGATCGAGCCACAGCATCCGACAAACAGATGAGCTGAAACCAAGGGAGTGCATTTGTCTCCGCCGCTTGATAAATAGGGGACCCCTTTAATGAAACTGAAATAAAGACTATATTTGCTTATCGAGCGTAACCTCTGTGTACTCCGGTGCATGTGTGCTGAGCGTCAGTCATTTTATAAATGTACATCCGAAGGCAAAGCGGCCTGGCTCTAATATGTTATCCCCGAGGACCCAGAGGGAGGCTGTCAGATAGAATATGACAGGAGCACCATCAGTTCACCAACAGCAATGTGAGTGAAAGCCTGGAGGTGAGCCAGTAAGACACAAAACATAAACGCTGGACTTGTTCTTTCATTTGTCTGATGCATGTATCAAAGAATGCACAGTGGTAAAGTCATTCGATTAAGAATGCATTAAAAACTACTAGTCTCAGATTTGCATCTCTCTTGGCAGCTACTGCTGCAAAAAACCTTTTTCAACCTAACACTGCTGAAACAGATTCTATCGTTTGTGCACGACTGTTAGAATTGACTTGCTGGTGCTCAGAATTGAATAATTTCAACAGCAAATGAGACCGAAAGTCAGCAGTGCATTGAAGGACACAGCATGCATATCTAATATTTGAAAATGCTCTGGCCTTGTTTCTCCAATTCATTCGGAAGATGC